ACAAGCTGTACTTCCACAGGCACAGCATCCAGTGGGCACAGCCAGGCCTGTATGTGGGGATCCTGAAACTGTGTAGTTCGTTGGAACAGATCCGGGTCCTGGTGCCGCAGAAGTTGCCTAATCTGCTTTGCCACACGCGGGTTCGACACAACGCCCATGTGTCCAGGCATGTATTTAAAAAAATATCAAGTAAACAAGACAATTAACCTTCATTTTATACACGTTATTTGTGTTTCCCGTGTCTGGCGTACAGGGAGGAGTGGGCGTGGCTTCAGAGTCATGTTTACACCACAGTCACAGACAGTGTTCCCAACCTGTTGAGCGGAGACGACGACAGTCTGATGGAGAACAGCGGGCTGGTGGAGTTTGTCACCTCCCTGAGAGTCGCAATCACACACATGCTGACGAAGCTCAACATCCCCCTCTACAGGGTAGAAATGAACACTGTTCCTAAATGGCAGCAGCTGCAGAGATATTGAAATTCAGTTGCTGCGTTGTCTCCGTCTCAGGCCTACCAGTATGGTGTCTACACCCGCGAGCTGCTGCAGTTTGGAGAAAACGTATCAATGATTCTGCTGCTGCCCCCTAGTGAGGACTTCAGCTCCAGTTACTGGCCCCTGGTGGGAACAAAGGAGGCAGGATTCACTATGCCCCTGCAGATTTTTGAGTTAGGTGAGTAAACACCCCCCATCCCCCCCACTCCCACATAGTATTCAGAGACAACACACACACACATTGCTGATATTTAAGTTATGAGGACATTCATTTTGCAGCTCTGAGATGCAGTGGTTTATTATTAGTAGTAGTACTATAGTACAGTTTTTTTAAATATAAGGGTCAGTGGCGTTTAACAGCATTCGTTGTTAACGTGCCGAACAGTAAACACCTCCATTTCCGTAGGTGTTTCATGTGATGACGAAACCTTTTTCTTCTCTACTTTCCCAGTTCACTTCTGGAGGTACGAGCGGGACTTTCTCTCTGAGTATTGCCAGGCCTGGGTGAGGCTGGAGCTGGACACTCATCTGGCCCAGCAGGCTCTGCGGGAGGCGCTCGACACCAAGGAGGTGCAGGAGGCCAGGGAGCGGCTGAACAAGATCACAGAGCTCGCTCACGTAAGACCATGGAAACCAAACGTCTTCTTCATTTGATCTGAATTTTCTTTGTTAAGTTACAGAGTTGTATCGTGTTATTATATTACTTTTAGCGTTTGGACGTGGTGTGGCGGGACGCCCGCTGGATCATGGACTGTCTCCAGTGTGTTCGGTCCAAACAGTGGGTGGGGGCGGTGCCTCTGGGTCTGGTGATGGGAGGAGATCCACCACCACATCCCGAAGGAGAGGAAGACGAGGACAGGTTGGCCAACAAACTGTCGTGGCCCAGTGTGACACATCCACGGAAAGTCATCACAGGTGAGCAAGACCAATTATAATCCTGGATTATTTTTTACAGACAGTGAGCTAATGATTTAACTAAAAAATCATTTCCTCTCCAGAGAGTTTTGTCAGCTCCACTCCAACAAACGTGGTCACAGCGGAGGTCTCCACCCCGGCCGGCGTCACGGCAGCTCAAGATGACGCGCTGGCCCTGATGGAAGGCGTTGCGAAGGGAGGGTACCCCGTGGACATCACTGCCCAGTCCACTATGGACCTGACGAGCATCGGTTCTTCGGAAATGGGATGCGCCTGCGCCCTAATTGAATCTGGGCTGGAGCCCGCGGCCGTGGCCCAGCTGCAGGAGGCTGGCTTCAATGTTTTTGTCACACAGGAGTCTCTCAGCAGCGATCAGGACTTTTCTCCCTGCATCACGGAGGTAATCAAACCCATGGAGATGGCAGAGTTGGTGGACATCCTGCCTACACTGAGCCTCTTTGAGGAGGAGACCCCTAGTGGTCAGCCTACATCAATCGTGATGAACGTGCTGGAGAGCTTCGGACTGGGGATTGATGAAAACAATACCTTGATCGACTTGGCTTCTTCCACCTTGATCACGGGGGCCGGGTGTATCCCCCATCCTAACCTGCAGAGCAGCAGCAGTGACGTGAGCTTAGAGCACAGTGAGGACACGACGTCGGCTTCTCACGACATCACGAGCTCTGTCGGTGACGTGTCATGGGACACGCACGAGCAGCAGACTGTCAGTGTTGGAGTGGGTTTTCTGCCGAGGAGCCGTGTGGAGTGGGACGGACCGTCCAACAGTTCATCCTGATGTTGAGATGAACATCATCCCACTTTGAACTGATTTTAAAAGGATTTTAATCGACACCCTCTTTGTTTCACCGGGGTCTGTTTTAATCACGGACTTCAGGTTCCAGTGTTTTCTGAAATATTAGTCATAATTCTAAGTCTAATTATAATATTAATGCGTCTTCCTAAAAAAGCTTTTTCTCTGTTTTTATCAAGAAAATATTCACGCACAAAGTTCCTTAAAAAAACATTTCAATTTTCTCGAAGTTCACAGAATTACCTCGATAATTTTAATCAAATATTCTTCAGTATCACTCAGACAAAATCACTTTTTTAGATTTTCTTTCTTCTATGAAATGACTGACTTCCTTTATGGTTTTAAAGAAAATATTTGTCAGTTAATATTGGACATATTATCGGTTCATTCTGGATTATCTTAAAGTTATTTTAGATAATGCACTTTCCTAGACCGGCAGTGAATTTTTTATGTTTTCTTTCAGCACAGCCTGTCGCGTCACTCACTTCATCTGTAGCATCAGGTCGTATTCAGTTTACCAGATAATACAGTAGTCAAGAGTTTTAGTTTTTATTCTCGTTATAAACAGTTGGTCATTTTCCAGGTACTCTGCTCGTGTTCCTAAAAATGTACTTTCCAAAAATACCTAACCTATTTTCTTTGCCTGCATTGAGCCACTGGTAGAATAAACATTTTTATTTCTTGGTCTCACCCTAATGTGGAGAATGAGTCTCATTCAGAAATATTCAGCAAGTAACTTCATTAACTTTGTTTTATTTAAGATTTTTAGTTTAAATGTGATCCATTATTCCCTCACCTGCCTTGACTCGCATATTAACTTCTTTAGGGTTTAGGACTGTGTTTCTTCCAGAAGCGCAGCCCACACTGGTCCATCTGCCAGATGGAGAAGTGCGATTCGTCACCCCAGAGAATGCCTCTCCACTGCTCTGGAGGGCAGTATAGTGTATGCTCTACTGTATATCTGTGCTTCTCAAACTATGGGTCATGTTTTTAAATGTATTTAAAGAACTTCAGAGAGATCCATGAGATTTTCAACACCTCCAAACTGTAAAAGGTACCAACCATTTGTAGCGCTACATTTTGGACATGGAAATATACTGTATTCACCATAACTGATCTGATTCATGCATAAAATAAAGGTGGGAAGAAAGGATAAATTACTTTGATCTGTTAGTGTTGCACAGATCAAAGCCACCTTCTTTCAGTGGGGGCCAAATAGGCACAAAGTTTCTCTGTTGTTTCATACTGTGGTCTGTACTTCAGTACAGGCCTCAAGACATGACTGTGTGTGAATAGACGCCGTCATGTGGAGTTCCAACACTTGGAACTGATACTATGTTCATTGAATTTATCTTGCGGCTTTCAAGATGACATCATCAACCACAGTAGGGAGTCTGCCTTTGATCTTTGTTTCCTAATAAACATGACACATTTTTATATATATATATATATTTCATGATGATCTGTTAGGATGTACCTCTACCTGAACTAAAAAAAGTCACGGCCCACATTTGGCAGATAAAAATATTCTGCGGAGTCAGCTCCAATCCTGTGCCTTTGTTACACATCACAGGCATGTAGAATTTTGGAACACAGAACATATATTCCCCTGAGGCTCCCGCAGCTCTACTGGAGGAAACAGGAGGAAAATGTTGCAAAATGAAGTGTGAAGAAGAAGTACTTCACCCCTTTTATGTACGGCCCCAATAAGAAGTCCTTTATTGACATGTCATCACATTTACTAGATGGACCCCGTGGTAAGCTGGCCAATCAGGGACGTCCAGGGTAGATGTGAGATGTGAAACTGTGTCCTGTCACATGACAGTTAGTTCTACACTGTCCTTCAGTTAGCGTTTCACAAAGTACTGCGTCAAATAAGACACATAATACACAAGTGTGTTTCAGGTATTTGTGAGTACACATCTGATCAGACTGATTGATTACTGTAAATTATAACATTTTCCCATTAAAACGTAAAGGTTAATTACCACATTTTTTTCTTATTAGAGTGTTATCGTTCAATAATAGTCAATTGGAAACTACTGAATATGAGAAATACTGCTCAAATACAGTATTTTGTCATAGTAGTGAATTCTAGATTATTTTCCCTGATGGACTTTGATGATGAAATGATCAAATCTGTTTGTTTGAAACATCTTTTTCCGGGTGTTTTTTTTCCCGAGGCGTGTGAGAGGCAGCAGGATGTCACCACTGTTTGCCCAAATGAAGACCAAGACTTCAAAGTCAAGATCGAAGACCTGATCACCTCCAGCTGCACCGACTACCAGGTGCAGACCGTCCTGGGATGTGGGGCCTACGGGTTGGTCACTCAGTGCCTGAAGATGAGCACCAGAGAAACGGTGGCTCTGAAAATATTCACAAAAAAGCAGTCCACCAATGACGCACAGGAGGAGGTACAGCAGGTCACGAGTCGTCACCTGTGACACGAGCGAGTCAGTCGACAAATGACACGCTGTGGTTTTAACTCCGTGTTTCTCTCTCTCTCTTTATCCAATGATTCCAGGAGGCCATCCTGAAAACGATGAAGGCCCTCAACTCAGACAGGTTCAACGTCATCAGCCTGAAGAACTCCTTCATTTACAGGGGGCACTATTGTCTGGAGTTTGAGAAACTGGACATGACCCTCAGGGACTTCCTGAAGAAAAAACAGGCGGTGTCGCTGCAGCTGGAGGAGATCCGTCCCATTTTACACCAGGTGTGTTTTTGTACTTCTCAAGACTCTTGGTTGTATTAGTGAAGTGAATTAGTTTGTTTTTAGTTTTAGCACAAACCAATAATGCGGGTTAACAATCATGCTCTAGTCCAGGCGTGTCAAATATAAGGCCCGTGGGCCAAAACTGGCCCACTTGGGGTTTTAATACGGCCCTCTATAAAGATGTATGTAATATACTCCTTTGCATGAAAACAAAGGGGGAAAATGTGGACTTATTGTTATTCATAGGTTATTATGTTATGATTGTATTGGTCCAGCCCTGCTTGACATCATATTAGGTTGTGTGCAGCCCCTGAACCAACATGAATCTGAAACCCCTGCTCAAGTCCAATTATTTCAAGAATCAAACTGAGCTGAATTTTTCAAGCATACTGACCGAACAAGGAGACAAAAAAAAAAACTAAAAAAATTCATCAGGACTGCTCTTGTATTTCCACCTTTCTAAGGCAGAGCTTCATATACAGCTTTAAACACTGGAGTCACATTACAGAACTACATGGACTCACACACAGAGAGGGTGATTTCTTGTTGTTTTACTTCCAGTTCCCACCGTGTAACAAATTTTCAACGTGGCTCCGCTGCCTGCAGTGCTGCTAAAAAATTCATATCTGGCTCAAACCTGGTTTCTGTAAAAACACAGTCTGACAGTCGCAGATAAGTCGGTGACTGCGGACATCGCAGGGTGAACTGCTACCTGCTGGGTACAGTGGCTGGCATTGGTTGTATTGGTCATTTTGTTTGAAAATGTCTGATGTGGAGCCGTGGCCACATGTGTAGCTCAGGAGCCGTAGTTTGATGATCTCTGCTGTTTATAATCACTCCTACATAAAGAATTTCTCTCACGTTTTCATTTTTAGCTGGCCATTGCATTGGATTTCCTGAAGGGGGCAAAGGTCATTCACGCTGACCTGAAGCCAGAAAATGTCATGATGGTGGACCACGTCCAGCAGCCGCTCAAGGTCAAAATCATCGACCTGGGTCTGGCTATTGGGAATCGGGGGGAGAGTAGAGGCTGGACTCTGCAGAGTCTGTGGTACAGGTGAGTCACCGGCACCACATCAAATACTTCTTACAGACGCAGGAATACTTGGGGGTGCATTATTGCCACCTACTGGGTCCTTTTAAAAAAGAAAATAGAAAATGCTGGCTCTGGGCAATATCCCTCCACATGAACCATCGACCACTTAGACTTAGCCTTCTAAATATTGACTAAGGGGGAAAAACCTTGTTGCTTTCCTTTTTATTTTTCATATTTTTTTATATTCAACTTTTTTTTCTCTCTCTCCTCAGATCGCCTGAGGTTCTGCTGGGAGCTCCTGTCAGTGAAGCCATCGACGTCTGGTCTCTGGGCTGCATCAGTGCTGAACTGCTAATGGGCATACCACTGTTTGACTGCAACAATAAATATGACCTTGTAAGCATGACATTTAAACATTACTGAGTTATTTTGCCCACTGCTAAATTATATATATACTCACTGGGGTATAAAGAAGTTGCTTTTATTTTATATAAAATGCAGTATATTTAACATTTGATATTTAACTTACAGTGTTGTAATTGAATATATGATAAAACCCTAGGGCAAAAGTCGGAGGGCCAGAATCTTTCCTGGGGGCCGGACACACCAATAAAATGAAATAGAAATCGTTGTCTGGATTGGCCGGTTCAGAGGGCCAGATTAGCGACGCGAGCCACCAGTAGATAATCACTGACCTAGAGATTAGACTTAGACATCACACCATTTTCTGAGTGACACAGACTACTTTTTAAAAGACAACTTATTTCAACTTCAAACATTAAAACCTAATTAGTAATGAAATGATTACAATAAGCTCGACTCCTGTTTCTGGTTCGTAGATGAGACACATCGTATGTATGATGGGAAAACCGCCAGCATATCTGCTGAAAGCTGGATTGTTCACCAGGCTGTACAGGTTAAAGACGAAGGTAGGAACAACTTTGTGTGTTTTAACAATGTTGGCATGTCAAATGTTTCAACAATAAGTTTGATTTCAAAGAAACTTTCTCCTTTTCCTCCACAGATGGCTCCTAAAGCAAAGTTCATTTTCACCCCACGCACGTTGATCAGCCTGAACGACCTTGTCATGGTTAGATTGATTCTTGTGTCGGATGGGGCTACACTTCAAAAAAAAAAAAAGCAGGGTTTTCTCTACCTTGAATTGCTCTTTTTATACTTCTGGTATTTCATGGGAGAAAAACTGCTGCAGCTTATTTTCAGATTTTACAGCCCTGACAGCAAAAAAACACTCAAATGCAGCTTAAAATCTGCTGGGGCTCCGGCTCTGTCATTTGATGTGTGTGTGTGTAGAGCAGGTCGCATGAATCTGCATATAGTCAATTGAAAAGTCAAGCCATATATTTCCCAATGAGGTACTTGGTATATATTTACATAGTTTTTATTAATACATATGTGTGTGTATATATATATATATATAAATATATATATATATATATATACATATAAACACATAAACACATAAATATATGTATCTACTTATACATACATGTCTGTGTGTGTATGTTCAACATCAATTGATTTCAGCAATATATATTCATGTTATATGTGTCTGCATATATACACATATGTATATATGTATATAAATATATACACTCTAAATTTAAATTTAAATTTTGTCACATCACATTGACCTCCAAATATTAGAATCTCTATAGTAAAAAAAGAAATGTAACTCAGTTCAAATATAGCTTTTCCGTCTGAATTCCTGTAGGTGTACGAGGACCGTTCAGGAGAGGACGGTTGTGCCATCCACTGTGACCTGGTGATGTTTGTCAACCTCCTCACCCTGATGCTCACGGTTGATCCTCGTGACAGGATCAGAGCCAGTGACATTCTGCAGCACCCATTCCTTACAATGAGCCACCTGAACGGCTCCTTCAGCAACAGCTACTAGTAAGTGCAGGTTCAGATATTTATATCTCCGTGCTGACAGATGGAGACAAACAAAAATATCAAATTCTGACCCGTGAACTGACTCTCTTCCAGTGTGAAATCTAGCAGAGAGCTGCTCAGCATCTGTCAGAATCAGGATCAGTTTGATAAGGGAGATAATGTTACCCTGACAACGCAGCAGATGAACCTGGGTCAGGAAACCTGGACCAACACCTCCAGCCTGAGCAGCAGGAGCAGCCTGCCAAAAACACGAGGAGACATGCCCGTCTTCCAGTCCATCATCACCCGAGCAGCAAGAAAAATGAAGAGGAGCACCGAGCACGAGACGCTGAGGAAGAGGCAGAGGGATGACGTCGATAATTGCAAAACCTAGAACCAGGAGGCAGACGCTGATGTGGAGATCGGATGATTCAAGCAAACCTTTGGAGAGACAACAGGAGGAGGGAGGAGAGGGGGAGTGGAAGGGAATAAATAAACTTTTTGTCTGAAAGACAGAAATGTTTATTTTTGCTTCAATCTGAATCAGGTTCCTGCGCTGGGCCTTGTGTCTCCTTCACCTTATCCACTCCCTGCCTCTTGTTGCCTCATCTTCCCAGTGGCCTACTGCCTAGTATAGCAGCATCAGCATCAGCATCAGCATCAGCGCAGTTGCTGGACTTAATGAAGGAAGGACAGAGTTAGATGATAGTCAGCCCGCTGCTCTCTCTGCTCCTCCGGCAGCTACAGAAACTGTATCTGTTCCACAACATATTAATGGATGGAACTGTCTCCCATGGAGCGCCTAGTTGCCTGTAAAATAAAAAATTTAAATTTAAATATTTTGATATCCCAGGAACTTTCTTGAATGTTTTCAGTCGGCCAAAACTAACATACAAAAAATGAGCATCGTGTTAAAAGTTAAACTTAGGATGTACATAAAGAAGTGAGACCTCGATATCAACTCGCGTTATTTGCAGTTGAAATAATGCAGCTGTAGTTAAATTTTTAATTAAATCTGACCACAACGATGTCTAATAGTCTAATTTTTTTTTTTTTTACTTTGAGACAAGAATAAAAGGGCCTTATAATGTGTAGTTTTTATTTATTTTTTATGTTGGGCGTATCCAGGGCGTGGCTTACAGCTCTCCTGTTGTGAACACCTGCTTTGGTTAGCCCGGCTGCTAAGCGTAGCACAGCACCGCGGAAACATCAGTCTTCTTCGTTGGTTTTTATAACGCCTCAAGCTAAAGTTGTGTTTTCACTGTGGCAGGTCAGAAGACCAGAAGAAGAACTGCCAGCCTGGAGGAAATGCTCACCGAGGCTAATGGAGGCGCTAGTGCTACAAGGTACAGTACTTTATTCTGAGAGGTTTTCTTTTTTAGCATCATTAGATTCCTTGAAAGGTGTTTTTTTTTATTTCTCTACTAGATAGTAAAAGTGTTGTCCTCCAATATCTCGATAAAATGGTAAAAATAAAAGCAATTTTTTCATCTGCTGTTTTAACGGTCGTAGTTCGACAAACGTAGACGCGGCAAAATATTTTTTTGTCGTTAGTGTGTGAGTTTTTATTTTGGAAGCCATTGGGTTTTTTTTAAGTTTTATTCCAGTAGTTTGGACAGAAACTAATATATATATATATATATATGTGTGTGTGTGTGTGTGTTTAGGTTGGTAAATTTAACAGTTTTGTTCTTTTCCTTTATCTGTGTGTGTGTGTGTGTGAGAGAGAGAGCTCCTGGCCAAAAGAAAAAAAATGATTATCCTTCAAAATACACCCAGTCCTGTCCCAACTGTATATTTATCACATTTTGCTGAAACAGCGGAATACCAGTTTTGAAAATATGTAGGACTGGCTGTAAGGTGTGTTCTTGGATACACACTGAAATATTCCAGACAGGGGAAACTTTAAGAGTTAACCATTTACAGTAAAGGCAAACTCACAAATGCAACTGTAAAAAAAAAGGTGCGTTTAATGACCTGATAACAAACATGGACAATTAATTACTGATGCATATGTTTAAGAATATGTAAACAACGTCTGGATTGTAGTGTTATGTACATATACTGTCCTTCTAAATCCATTGTCTCCGATCTGACAGATTCACAGTTGTGTTGTGACTCATTTCTATTATAAATACACAGTTTTATTAAGACAACAGCATTTAGGGAGAGAACCAAAAGTCCAGGAACAAGATCTTCGTCTCGAGTCGTTCAACTAGACCTTGATCTCTTCCTCCTCCTCTTCAGAGAAACGATACGGTGATTTACGGCTGTAGGAAAAAGGAGAAGGAGCTGCGTTATTGCTCGTTCTCTTTGCCTTCGTGAAGGACCCTCCACCGTAGTGACGAGACAGAACATCAGCTGCTCTCTGGAACTGTTCCGCCTCCATCACTGGTTCTACTCTCTGTGGAGAACCAACAGACGCATCTGGTGTCCTCGCAGACCTCTTGACCTCCTGCCCGGTCGCGTTTGAGCTATGAGAGCGCCCTCTACTGCTCATGGAGGAGTTGGGTGAAGTTGCCTCAGGACTTGGCACCCGGGTTTCTGTTAGAGAGCTGTTCTCCTCACCCTCTTCACCCTCGTCTGCAGCTTCCTCCTCGGTTTCCTGGCTGTGGTTGGACATCTGAAAACAACCTGGGTTGTCAATCAAACTGAGCACCTCAGACATGAGGGACGGGCCCAGGTCAACGGTGAATGATGCGAGAGAGTCGGAACGCGTCAGCGTGAAGCTATCGCTGTCGGTGAGAGGTTCTTTTTGGACGTCACCCTGGAGGAACTGTCTGTCCAGGCGAGAGAGTCGAGGCAGCGTGACAAAGCCAGACTGCAGGCCTATGACGACACAACACACACAAAAACAATGCACTGAAGTCACAACTAAAGGCACAGTCAGACTTATTCACTGTTATTGATCAAATAAAATCCATGAAAATCACGTGAACTGCTTAGGTTTGATATTGGATTAAACCGTCTTTTAAAATCCTAATATCTGAAGCCATTTGAGGTACAGCAATGAAACTTCCACTTTATTTGTATTTTAAACTATTAAATATACACTCGGCTAAAACAAGTGAACATTTTTATTCATTTTTGAAAAGAGAAAAGTACTTGTAAAATTAAGTCACTCAGTATTGATTTTTTTTATATATATATATTCAGTTTAGAGAAAAGTACTTGTAAAATTAAGTCAGTCAGTATTGATTTTTTATATATATATATATTCAGTTGCACAGAAGGCTGAAGCTGCCAAAACATTGCAATTTTAATATTTATCCATTATGCAAAGAACTGCAAAGAACTGAGCAGCTGCTGCAAGAGTGTTTTTACAAGACAGTATGTCATAAATAAACTTAAGTTAGACAATAAAATCACAAAATAAAATAACTTTCAAATACGTGACTTCAGGGGACATCACAAACGAATGCTAACCTGGTTTGTTACCACTAGGCGGCAGTATTCGACAGTCAGCGCTACAAGCCTGTCTATAATTTGTCTTTTAAAGACGATTTGTTTTTATCTTTCCCTGCTTTTATGTTGCACTCTGTTCCATTTCTTCTTACTTTTACAACCTCTCTCAAAGAAGAAAATAAGCGAGTATACCTTTTCAGCTAACTGTTCAGAATACTGTGTCTCTTTATACAGCTTTTCAGCTAACTGTTCAGAATACTGTTTCTCTTTATACAGTACAAGTGGTAAATTAGTACAAGTGCTTGGTAAATTCATTGACATTCATCCACATCATGCAGTTTGGTCAAATACAGTGATACATCTGCAGAATGAGGGGGATTTCCAGCCAGGACCCAAGTCACTGCTGAATGATGATCTCTGATTGTTTAGCACACACGCACACACACGGAGAGGACAGAAAGTGCATTTTTGTGGTCTTAAAGCAGCTGTGTGTGTTTGTAGACCTGGCTGTGTACAGGTGTTGCCTAGGTGATCCAGGATGAGTCAGAAAAATGCATTCTGTTTGCCGGTCGCCTCAGAGGAATGTGGCAACTGTTTGGTCTGGGAACACTTCAGTCCCTGTCATTTAGTTCTTCTGGACATTAACAGTCCATTATTTATCAGCTCCTAGTTAGAAGTGTCTTTGGATGGTAAAAGCGTTCTCTTTATTGAACATAATATATATAAAGTCTTCCCCAAAACTTGGGGAAGTTTAATTGAATCAAATGTTGAATGTGCTGCTAGTTTAAAATGTTAAACTCTTAAAACAGATTTGTTTTTAATCTCACCGTAGGCACAGAACGAGTCGTCTGTTGTGCTGACAGATGTGGGGAACAGCATCCTCTGTAGGCAGCCGTTGGGAGAGTCCACGTTGAGCTGAGGCAGAGAGATGGCATTCTTGATGATGGGTGAGATTTCCGGTGGCAGGGATGACAAGTCCCGAGAACCCCGTCGAGGTCGTGGTCCGGGGTTCTTCACACGTACGTGCCGAAACGTACGTGTGAAGAACCGCGTCTTGGAACTCTCTGACGATTCTGGACTTCCTGGCTCCTTGGTGCCACCGTAGTTGCTGAGGAAGGAAGTGTCACCAAACACGTCCCCGCCACGGCCGACATGCATCGTGTGTCGGAAGTCGCCCAGCGGCGAACTGATCATGTCCACTGAGAGGTCACTCTTGAAGCGGCGTTTCCCCTGTGAGCTGGGCACAAGGCCCTTAATCCCTGGCAATTTTCCCAGACTCATGGTGGAAGAAAAGACTTTCCCTCGGACTCTGAAGAGAGTGTCTTCATTACATGTCAGTCAGTTGTGAATTCTAGTGAAGGTTCACTGTAAAACCAGAGAGAGAGAAAAAAGTTAAAATCCCAGGACAGTTGGAACATAAAACACAAGTATGTGGTTGTTAAGTGGACGGGGAATGTGTGTATAATCCATTATTCACGCCACCAGAGCCAACGTTTTAGCCCCAGTCGGATCTCGGCCTTCTGGTTCTACACTGAGGTCTCCACTGAAACAGCACTGACAGTGGAGTCCTCGTCTACATGCAGCCCCAGGAAAGATGACCGAAAAGTTCATGTTTACCTGCAGCCATTCTGGGATGGAAGTGGATCCAGACTCAGACTGCAGATCGTCTCAAAACATTGATGTAAAACCTCAGTGAAGACCATGATTCCGGACTTCTGGGAACGTAGAACTGACGGATGTAGAATGATTAGCTGGCAGCTCACTGATTACAACGTCTCTGATTGACTCTTTGTCTCATCCAATAAATCCTTCGCGCTTCAAAGTTCCGCACAAAGCAGAGGTCAACCGTCATGAACGACACATTTATCCAAATGTCCATCACAGTGTCCACAGATTAGCATGTCTGTCTCTTTTATCAGCGCTCTCCTGTCCTGCTGAGACCAACAACAATTAAAGGAAGACAACGGAGCTGTTCTTGAAATGGCAGGTGATGCAGAGTGACATAATCCAGCTAATGTTTTGTCTGCACCAGCCAAGAAGAAATCTCGTGCTTCTCCAGGATTGTCCTCACTCTGGATTAGCAGGTAATCCCTCCTGTCTTCCCTCGCTCCCTCCCTCCCTCACTTGCTTTGTGCCTTTGTCAACCCTCTGAGCTCCACAGTGGCTGCCAGGTTAGAGTCGACTTCTCTCTCCTTTTCTCTACATTTTAGTTCAGCTAAGGTCAAACTAAGAGAGTGGTCAGAGATAAAACAGAGACGGGAGTCCATCACGTGACCACAGTCTGACGCCAAAACATTTGGATGTCTGTATAAGTGTCAGGCAGCTCATATAGTTTTGAGAACATTGACAGAGTCTGGAATTGAACCCAGGACTGATTGTTAGACAGTGCCAGGAGCCCCCTCTGCCCCCAGTTGTCAATCAGGCTCAAAACAACCATGCACTGCAAATACACAAACACACACAGCGGGGTCACAGTGGGTCAGCTCTGCAGTCGCTTCCTCCTCTGGACCAGAGAGGGTTTTTTCTTGTTGTTTTTTTACAGCATGGCACCAACAAACTGTGGTTGAGGTCGGAACTCCAGGACCATTTCACTCAAACTAGGTCCAAACCACCACATGAACTCTGTATTAAAAGTAAAGGACTGCTGCAACGTGGCAGTCCTCAACCACCGAGGGCAGTTTGGTCCAAAGTCTGAGTCTGAGTGTTGTACGGACCTGGTGTGATATGGTGTTAAATGTCATGTGACGTCAAACACTTCCTCAACTGTATAATCGAAGTATTGTTGAGGATCAATATATTTTCAAAATAAAACATCTTTTATTTTGAACCAAATTACTCACAGACCAGTACCGGTCCGTGGACCAGGAATTGGGAACCCCTACATTACAGAATCATGCTCTAAATGTTATAATTAACTTAGTTATTCCAGTTAGCTCAAGTACTTCTTGTTGTCCTGCGATCAAAGAAAACGTTTAGTCAAGTTCACAGGGAACATTTCAGAGCTTTGCAGAAATAAACCTTCAGCTCCACTCCTCATTCAATACTTCTTTTTTTTTAAGTATGACATGTTTGTCTAAGAATTAAAAACAAGGCTGCAGTGCAAACATTTCTCTTAAAGCTCTGTCAAAAAGCGATCACGCAAAAATGAGGTGCAGTTGAAGAAAAAAGACAGAAGTTCAAAGCTAATTTTTCTAGTGCAACATTGTGATATATTTGGACCAAAGTTTGTAAATTCACATGCAGGTTTCTATGGTTTTGATGTGACTGAGTACTGTTTTTCTACCACTTTGTAATTTCACTACTTAACCTTTGTGTAACCATGACAACCTGAATAGTTTCATCCTTGTCTCTTTAAACTGTGCATTACATCATTAGATGGATTTGATGTTTTAGACTCCGTTAAAAAAGCCCTTTGTTTTGTACAACCAGTAAACAGACGCCTGCTGTTCCTGAGGTCACCACAGGAGTCTTTGAGGACCACAGACAGAGACACAGTGTCTTTCTGAGGGACACCACAGAGGGAGCAGATGCTCCGATGGCTAAAGGACATTCTCTCACCATGACGCCACCTGGCTGTCATCCAGCCGACACCCCGATCTGATATCTAACACACATCTTCAACAGTTGTTCTGAGGTTTCACTGGGAAATCCCGGTGACCAGTGGGTTCTGACCCACAGATGCCAAACTGGAGAAGACGCTCTTTATTATAGGACGACGACGACAAGTGTTTTATAACAATCTGACATTTGTTGCTCTTTCCTTTTCCTATACTGGGATTCTTCTAAAGGCATTTACAAAACAAGCAGTAAATTAAACCTCTCCAGTAAACAGGTGGTTTTCTCACACAAACTATTTAAAGACCAACAGAAAAACAACTCATTTTGGATTGTTGTTGTTTACCAACAGTGACGCTGCAAAAAGAAAAGTTAAAAACATGGATCTTTGATGCAGTACTTCTGCTTTGAACAACTTTGAAAGCAAGAGCTCAGAGGCCTATGTAACGAAAACGCAGCAAAACAAGATAAATATATTGACATGAGAATATTTATGTACTCGGCCCTTCTGTAGGGCCTTTTCTGTAGAAGTAAGATTTCCCCTAACCCTAAATTTATGTACTCGGCCCTTCTGTAGGGCATTTTCTGTAGAAGTAAGATTTCCCCCCCCCCAGAATAATTAACAGCAAAAGATGTTGGATTTTTCAACTTTTTCTGCATAAACTCACCTTAAAATAACATCCCAGGATGAGCTGTGAGATCATGTCACCTCTGTGTTCCCTCTCTTATCCTGTTGTGGTCTGCATTGTGTGTTTATGCTCAGATATGTGGCAACTCCGTTGCTGCTGCTGCTGTTGCTGCTGCCGCCAAGTGATCTGGGCAGAGCCCGTTGGGGGAGGAGGAAGAGGAGAAGGAGGAGGAGGAGAAGAACAAAGACAAAGCTGGACTCCAGATTCATGCATGACAGAAATAATTAAGAATGAACCCCATGTCAACTTCATCTCCCTGCATCTCTACAGGTAACAACCACATGCATTATGGGTAATAACAGATTATAAAGGCTGTAAAATAACACATTGTTGATACTAAATGCAGGTTGATTGGAATTTATTTAAACGTTTAATACAATCTACAGAGGCCGTGCAGCTGTGATGTCAATTATTCAACATGTCCTTGTGACTGGGATAGAGACATACATATAGGTTTAATAACGGACATTAAGAGTGACGTAAATGAAATGAAATAAAAGAGCATCAGACCTTAAAAATCATGGGATCTTGTGTTCCGTGAGTTTGGAATCTGATGTTCGCAACAGCTGCAAAGTATCAGAGCTTCTCTGATGAGGGGAGAATGTGAGGGTGAGAAAAGAAAAGCAGAGGAGAGCGGGGTGATGACAAGGGGGAGAGCAATAACAGGAAATAGGACTCTGTAAAATATCATGTTTAATCTGCTTACATCGCTGTGAACGGTGGGAAAATGTGTGTTTTGTATCAAGAAAAATGCTAAAAGTAATGGAGGCCAAATTATAAAATAATAAAAATAAATTAAAAATGTGTTTTAGTATATTCTATTAATATAATAACTATATAGTATAGTGAACAATTTGTATTGTATGGTTTAAAACAGTTTTTTATTTCTTTAATAGAAGTTTAAAAAAATACAACAAAATGAGGAAAATGTGCTGATGAGGTTCAAAGACGAGCGTCTGCTTCAGCACAACATAAAAACGTTGACCTTTGTTTCCTTGTTTGAACTCTGCTCCTGTTTCGTGATCAGTCAGAATACTGGGTGTTGACCCAGGGACAATAAAGCATTGTAATGTCCGTCTGCAGGCTGCAGATCTGGTTCCTCTATTTCTACCTTCAGCTTTAGAAGTTTTGTTTTTTTTTTAACATCAAAAGTAAATTTCCCAGGATGAAGTCATTTTTTTTTTTTTGTAAAACCCAGTCCTGAAGAAATACTCCACCACAAATCCAACTGTCATGTACTACATAACTCTCTCTGTACTCTGTATTCATATCCCGGTGGTGACCCACACTGATGTCACCCACTGGTTTGTAAACTGCCTCTTTGAACCACTATTTAAACTTCTGACAGAAGCTACGACGTAGAAGGAAAATTGATGAGGGCACATAAAACTCGTGTCGGGGTAATTTAGTGGTTCTTAACCTGGGTGTCACAGTCCCAACAATGATCGTCAGGCACACTGAGGTCCTGAGATTCTTCCGAGGTTGGGTGAGGAACAGAAGCCTCACCTCACACCCCAAACATGTCTGTATTTGTATTTATCCAAATATTAAACATTAGTATGGACTCCATACAATGGAGTTTTTTGTTTTGTTTTTTAAACTACGTGCATGTTAAACTCTGTGGGGCCACATGTAATGAGGCGGTGGACCAGATTTGGCCCGCGGGCCTTTGGTTTGACATATGCGATTTAAATGGTCGAAATATATATATCGAAATATATGTGGCTGTTGCTGAATTTGATTTGCTTGTAAAATTATAAAGAAAGAAAAAACAGTCTGTTCTGGGGTTGAGGGTTGACGCCCCCGGGGGAGTCAGTCATTCAGTTTGGGTGAGTCACTTAGTTGAAATGTTGTAAAGTAATACGGGCTCAGTATGTGTGTGAGTTTGAGAGCTGCTTTATTTAAATGGTGGTGTCAAATACTTTTCGGAGGTTGAACGCGGTCTGTGAGCCACTAGTCAGAGGTGGAAATAGTTATTTTTTTAAAAAAAATAATTTTAATGGTTCAGAAATAAAGAATGAATTCTGGTTCAAGTTAAAGTCCCATCAGTTGGTGACTGTGATGTAAATCATCACATCATCATGTTCAGTGACTTCACAGTAGAAGAACCAGGAAACCTACTGAGTGGGATGGAATGAGTCACGCTAACACTTCTGTCTGTCCATCTGTCTGCCTGCAGGGTAGACTGACGATGAAGACGATGATGATGATGATGTCTGTAGGAGCTGAAGACAGCCATTGTACTACAGTCACTGCGTTGAGGTACAGTATCCATGCACACAGTACAAATGGTGACAGTGCTGGACGTGGTAAAGCAACAAACCTCATATTGTCCAACGGGGAACGTTCCAGTGGCTTCCGGAAATCTTGACCACTTACTGCTGATTTCCTGTTACTATGAATACGCAGCAAGGAAGTTGTTACGAGAAGCGTCTTCGTGTTCTGACGTGGGGGACGACGTTTCACTGGGTTAGGTTAAGTGGACTCACAAAATGGAGCCCAGGTGATGATGATGATGATGATGGTCGATTGTTTCCATATGAGGAACTGTACCACTTATTTACACAGTATGTAGGAATATTGTGTCTATGTTTATAAATGTAGTACCGTTCCAGTCGTCTCGCTATAAATGTATAGGGTTTTTTTTATACTGGTACTGTTTGTATAAACCCAGTCCCTTATTTTGAAGCTTATTTAGAAGGAGTGGTTTTACCAGTATCAATTCTTTGGTCAAAAACAAAAAATGACATCATTGAAACAAAGTTGGTTTGATTTCAGAAAAACAAATGCCAAAAAAACATGTACTGCACCTTTAAAAAAAAAAACAGGACGTTGAGTGACTTTTGAGCTAAACAAAACATGTACTGCACCTTTAAAAAAAAGAAAACAAGACGTTGAGCTAATGTCCAGTTCTGAACGATCAAAAACAGACATGTCAGTATTTGGCCCCTGTTTAGGAGTTCAAACCAACAGACAGACGGACTGTTCTGTTTGTCCCTCTCTGTTCTGGGACCATATGAAACCCTGTTCCTCTTTTGGGGCGACTTTTAGTATGTGGTCGGCAATAGTTGCGTTTATAAAACTGTTTATGTATCTGTGTGTGTCTGCAGCGGTGCGGGTCAGATTTAGACAACTGTGCTACACCCTGTAATTCAAAACATCAACCCAAACCTCACTCTCCTTCCTCTTTTGGGGGAGGGAGAGTGACAGGAAGTGGGGGCCAGTTTTCACTGGAACCACAGAGTTGTGTGAGTGTATGTACGTGTGCGCGTGCGTACATTTTCTAGGACGATGTAGGGAGATGTGGTAAACACCTTGGTGTACTTTGTTTGTACCAGAAACTGTACTTGTGACATGAATGTAGACAGCTAGTAAAAGTGAGGCTCCAAAAATAGAATGAAATACTGCAGGAAGGAGTGAATCCATGGACGGACGGATGATGGATGGATGGATGGATGCAAAATCAGCTAGAATACCCATTGACACCTAAATAAACAAAGAAGACAAATCTTCCCCGGAGACATATTTTTGTGTCTAAGATAAAACTGTTATTGTCTTCCCTGACGGTGGTCCATGACAAATGAGGACAGGAGCATCAGGACACAGGCTCTGATTACACAGTCCTCTGGGTTGTTATTGCTGTCCAGCGTGTTGTTTTGGGAGCTTTGTGTTTTGCTTCATGGAGGTCTGTATTCTCCCACTCTGACCCTCGTCTGTTACTGATGTTAATTTCATATCAGACAGGAAATTGTACGAAGTTTTACTCCGGGCTATTTGCAGGAATTTTTATTAAGCTGCACACTTAGAGTCGGGAACAAGAGGACGTATTACGGAAATAACTTCATGAGCCGCAGATGGCATTTTTGGCAAATTCACTGCGTACAACCTCGTAACAAGTACGGCTAATTTCATTTGTCTCCTTGTCGCAGCAGCAGCCCCACGTCTGGAGAAAGCTGTTGTCACAGAGCCCTCGTAGGGAAAACATAAATCATACGACAAGATTTAAATCTGTCGCAATTACTGATGCCAACGCTCTCGTTTTCTGCCTCAGGGGAAGAAAAAAAAAGTCAGAAAAGATGCATTCTTCATGGACACAAAGAGGTGATTCTGTGCTGCGGCACGGCTTGAGTCATAGACGGAGGCATGAGGGGTCAGCTGCTGCCTGGAGAGGCCGCCGTGTTGTGTGTGTGTGTGGCAGGGACAGAGTGGAACAAAAAAAGGGAGAGAAAAAAAAATGGCAACAGAGAGTAGCGCTGTTCAATCTCTGGCTTTATTCATCGGGTTGTATTTAAATGACGTGACATATTTGGAGTACAAATATAAACGACACAGTCTGACACGCAGTCGGCGTTGCTGCAGCTGCAGCGACAGCATAAGTGACATCTGAATTCTTTTTTTTTTTTTGAAAACCTTAAAGTCACATTAGCTCCAGGAGCAACACGTCTGTTTCCACCAGCTCCTTTTTTGTCTCTGTCACCTCAGAGACAGCAGGCATGTTCATCCACCTCCCTGCAGAGGCTGAGGCAGGATTAATTGTACTCTGTCTGAAGAAGCATCAGAAAGTAAACAACTGAGAAAGAGAGAGAGTGAGAAAGAAAGTGAGGATGGAAGTTACAGGAGAACAGAGAGAAACATCAGTCTTTTTTTACAGTTTCTTTAAAAAAATGACATTGCAGAATCGCCATATGCAAAAAAAACAAAACTAATGTCTCATCACAGTAGAATTGAAATGCAACACTCACTTAAAAAGTCACACACATTCAGGAGCAGTTTCTGTCATTTCTCTTACTGTTTTCTTGTGTAATATTAACGTCATTGTTACTCAAAACAACATTTACTGAAACTCATGAAACCCAAACAAATGAACCGGTGCGTTACCTTTGAGTCAGCGGGCCACGCCCCCACATGTTCACCTGTCTGTAGTGTAGTATCGTGTGGGAGGTGAATGAGTGACAGCACATTCACAGGTGTTAGTCACGTGACACTGAGTCATACTTTACTTACGAACTTTTATTAGGACTTATTGTAGCTTCACCAAAGACTCAGATCGTAGTGTGTGTGTCTGTGATCGCAGCTTCACTAGTGGCAGTAGTCATTGGTTTACAGCGCCATCTGGTGTTTATAGAGCGTACTGATCACAGCGGTTTATCCCATAAAGATAAAGGAAGTGGACTGTATTGGTTGGACGTGGAGTGGGCGGGGGGAGCCAATAGAGGGACAGCTGCGTGCGTAAAGGTGCACATAAAGATCTTTTGCACTTAGTGTTTGTTTGGGTTTTTTTTTTTTCTCCCGTCAGGTGGCGTGCGCGCGCACTCACACTCTCCAGACTTAACCAGCTCCGTTTCTCAGTTCTGTTGAACCGACTGGGATGAAGACTTGATCGAACAACACACAGGTCGGAGACATGAGCGGTGAGTCAGCATTTTGTTTAAAAATACCAAATATTCATGATGACGATTTATTTTTTACTTTACTTTACTTTACTGAGTACTTTACAGATGTTTAACGTGTTTATCGATCCGTTTTTCGCGCTCTGTCATTCGTCAATCGTATCATTGTAATATATGAAAGACCTGCCTTTTTCACACGTAACATATTATGGGCTGATACTGTTAATACTTTTATAATAATAATTAACACACCTTGAATGTGTCCATGTGATGTGATGTGAACGTCTTCTAATTTTTGTAATTACACACACACTAAGTTGGTTTGATTCACTTTTTTTAAAATAATAATGCAGTTTACTTAAGGCACCTAAGCATCTGATGTTTTAAATAATTTTCAGACTCTTTTAATCAAACCTGTAAATGACAAAATCCTGGCCTTAGATTAAAGGGACTGTAAATGGAAAAACAACTTAAAATAAATACAGTCACTGTAAAATAAATGAACCCTAATTTTTATATATAAAAGCCACATCAATTAAATTATATTATTTATTCTCTTGGTCCATTTGTTTGTCTTAAATTTTAACATCAAATATTTATCAAAAAAAAAGTTTTTTGTGCTTACATTTTTTTAATGAAAAACTCTCACTTCCACACACAACCTCCTCCTCAGGATAAAGTTATGCAGGTGTGTGTGTGTGTGTGTGTTTCTACTGTAAGTCCACGCAGAGAGAGTTACAGTGAGTTCCAATCACATCAGAACTATGACTCAATAATGACAGAGATTCCAAAGTACCCAGACCTGTCCTGACCTGCCTGTGAGCAGAGATGGCAGTGATCAGCTGAACATACCTGCACAACACACACACACACACACACACACACTGTGTATAACCTAACAGAGAGACAGATGTTGATCGAAAACCAGTCGACTCAATAAACGCCAGTCAAAAAGGCTTCAAATTCAAACCACTTATGCTCCAGTCTACGTCAGTTCCCTGATGAAGGCCTGTGTCACCCCACGACCACGCCGCTCGTCTGGGGGAATGTTCTCTGGTGGTCCCGACACTTTGCAACCAGACAATCCAGGTCGCCCTCATGGGTCGTTCCACAGTGGTTGGATTAAGATAGCGAGCCACAACAGAACATATTTTCAAAAAGCTTTTAAAACGCAGCTCTTCACAGAGCGCCTCCTGTCCTTCCCTTCTCCTTCTGCACTTGTCTCCACCTCCCTAACTAGCGGTCTCCTTCCGTGAGTTCCTCTCTGTAGCTGGCTTATTAAGCTTCCTCTTGCATTGGATAAAAGCCTCTAAAAACCTCTTGGTGATCGTGACAGTCATTTGACATCCAACCACAGAGATGTTGGTTCCTGTATGTGGCTCAGTGCTCTCCGGTCAAACCTGCGTTGTTCACCCTAAACCTTTTTTTTCATTGTTATAACCCTGACCTGTTGTTTTGTCGTTGATCCTCTTAAAGAGGCCAGATTTCCCACTTTCGCTGGTTTCTCTCCATCTCTGAGGTGAATGGCTCTGAGAAAGCCTTTGTCTGTAATCCCTGCTCTGTGTTTAGGTGCACAGTATGAGTCATGGCCGTGTTTTCATTCCTGTGCCGTGAGGCACCGCTGACCCTCATAACTGCCGGTCCTTCACTCTACAACAATAAAAAACCTTTTAGCTGCTTCATGTTGACAAGCGTATGTTGACATAAAGAACAGAGACAAAATTAACTAGTTTAAACTGTATAAACAGACTGTTTAACCTAACATTGTAGCGCTGCACTGCTGTGACAATAGAGGATATTTTTTACCTACGCAGCAAAAAAAAATTATAATACAGGGAAACTAAGTGTGGATTTATTTTTATTAGATAATGAAAAAAATTAATGCACTGCTGTGACAATAGAGGATATTTATTACCTACGCAGCAAAAAAAATTATAATACAAGGAAACTAAGTGTGGATTAATTTTTATTAGATAAGGGAAAAAATTATTATCCTGAATGCCCTGGTCCAGCCTTTCATGTTGATCTGACCTACTTATTGTGCCACTGCACGAACCCTAAGATGTGATTTTAAAACATGGAACTCAATCTCTCCACTAGTGTGGGGTTTGAGCTGACATCTGTGAAGAAAAAATAATTAAAATATTTTGGTTTTGATGCTCACAGAGGAGAAGAAAAATACAACATTTTCAAAACATTCCAAGTATCAAGTGAAAAAGAAGTTTAAAAAAAGGGTCCAGACTGAAGCTGGTAGCTGGCATTTTAATAAATCTACAAAGAAAAATAGTAAGAGTTCAATTACTGTCCAGAAACTCTACTGAATGACTTCACAGTCCAGTCCACTTATATCCTGTCATTTCTCACATGATTCCAGGTATTACAGTGTGGGAGAATGAAAAGGACACCGTATCAGAAGACGAGCAGTCCTTTCCCGTGTGGACCGAGGAGCGCTGCGAGGAGCTGTGGGAACGCGTGGAAGGAGTGCGACACAAGCTCACACGCATCCTGAACCCGGCAAAACTCACACCGTACCTACGTCAGTGCAAGGTCATCGACGAGCAGGATGAAGACGAGGTGCTCAACTCCACTCAGTACCCGCTGCGGGTCAACAAGGCCGGTAAGGAGTAACAGTTTACTGTTTAATTAACACACCTTGAATATGTGCACAATGGTATATTGGAGAATCTCTTTTCTGTATTTTTTTATAATGTGATTTGACAAAATCCTGTTAATTATTGGCTGTAAATTAAAGGGGCAAAATCAGTCACTTAGCAGCTGTAAAATCAGTTCAGATAAATGAAAGAGAAATTCATAATTAATTAATAATTTGTAAAAAGGAATTATGTAAGATGTATCAATTAAATTAAATTATTCATTATCTTATCATCTTAAATTTGAACATCAGTTATTTAACAGAGAAATAATAATTTTTTTGCAGTTGAATTTTTGGAATAAAATCTCTAACTTCCACACACAAACTCCTCCTCGTCAGAATACACTGATCTGAAGAACACCGGGTCTGTGGAATCTTGGAATAAATAGAGGGAGTTTGTATGGGCTGATACTTCAGGGAGATTAAGTGACAAAAAAGCTTTTTAGAAGATAGGAAATTGTACTCTTGGCGTTTTACCAAATACTGTGTTTATACCACCGTACAGGAAACAATGTTAGTGTTTTGGTAAAGAAGATATGAAAGATATGAAATCAGCAGTGAGAGAAGTAGCAGCAGCTGCCGCCAAGATGGGTGAGATAAAAGGGAGCGCTAAGTAAAGGGAGTGTAAAGTAAAGACAGAGAGAAGGACAGGCAGGAATTTGGACTCGGAGAAGAAGGAGTTGAAGGAGAAATGTTACAAATCAGGTCAGTGTCAGGAGAGCGGCCTGCTCCACATCACATCACGTCAGTGTTTCATTTCCACTGCCACAGCCTGTCCTTTATATCTGCTTCATGTTTCACTGCAGAAACAAACCAGCCTCACATCAAGGAGGTGACGTTTTTGTGGTTACACTGTTACCCACGGAGCTGTTTGCAGTAATTTACCCCCGACATGGGATATGATTTTAAAAACATTGTTTCTTCTGTAGTCATTGTATCGAGGAGAGCGTTAATCCACTTTTTTTTTTGTAAACGCAGGTCGTTTGCTGGACATCCTCCGTACTCAGGGCCACCGAGGTCTTCAAGCCTTCATGGAATCTCTGGAGTTTTACCACCCGCAGCAGTACACACAGCTGACCGGGGAACAGCCCACACAACGATGCTCCCTCATTCTGGGTGAGAGCGTCTTCCTGACCAAAAGTTGGAAAAAGTTGTAAATCTTCTTTACACCACCAGAGGCGCTGCCGTCCGCTGAACCCTAAACATCTTAGCATATCTCACTGTTTTATGAAGCCATGGTAATTTATGAGTATGTTCATACTGTAACCTATTGTAATAAAACCCAAAATGCACATGGTCAACCCACCAGAGGAGGTCCACTGGTCTGTCCGTTCCTGTCTGATTTGTCTCTCCGTGTCCACAGATGAAGAAGGTCCAGAGGGTTTGACCCAGTTTCTGCTCCTGGAGGTGCGTAAACTAAGAGAACAGCTGAAGAACAGTCGCCTGTGTGAGCGGCGTCTGACGCAGCAATGTCGAGCGGCAGAGGAAGAACGGACTTGTGCCGAACGTAAAGCACAGGAGTTGCTCCGCGACAAACAGCAGGTGCAGAGGTGTGTGACCAAATTCTCCTTCACTGATGTGCGATGGTTTCTGTTCTTACACTCTTCGATATGAAGTACAGTCATTCTCTGATTGACACCTGAAGGCTCCGTCAGGACTGGGAATCAGCCAATCGGGAACTGGGAATGCTGAAGGACAGACACCTGGAGCAGGCAGTCAAGTATTCAAAAGCCCTAGAGGAGCAAGGAAAGGCCTCCACCAGGGAGAGAGAGCTGCTGAGGCAGGTGGGTTTGGGCCGGTGGTCCACAGCACACAGTCAATATATTTAGAGTCAACAGACCTACCATGTTTTCAGGACTATAAGTCGCTCCGGAGTATAAGTTGCACCAGTGCCCTCTGGTGGCTGTCGGTGTGAAATTAACGAACATGAAAATTCTTAGTGGTACAGAAGTAGCAAATACTGGTACACTAGCCTAGAGTGCCCTCTATGTATTATATATTTTAATATATAAGTCGCACCTGAGTATAAGTCACAAACCCAGCCAACGGAAGAAAAAACTGTGGCTTATAGTCTGGAAAATATTTTACTGTTTCAGACATAAACAACATTTCAAACAACAAAGTCATCACCCAGTCATCAGACATACAGTACATCTGTGGAAACAGGTAACATAACATATAATAATATAATATGTTTACTTCATATCACAACTACATAACATAACATGGCAGAACATAATATGCAGTATTTCCATTGATATAAATTAGTATTTTGAAGAAGTTTCCTGTCTTATCTGACCTTTAGAAATGTATGTTATCTTATGTCCTGACCTATGTCTGTATAAAAACGTTTTGAGTTGACCCTCATACTTTGCAAAAAATATCTTGTTTGGAAGTCAGCCATGATGTGAGAGGAGTGAGTCAGGTTTGTTTTTAGACTCTAATCTACAAAGTCTGAAGCTGCTGTTTACAGATGCACTGATTTCTGTCCATCGCTGGAGCCACTTTTGTAACAGACAGAGAGAGAGAGAACGTGACTACTCACTGTCACACAGAGTTTCACTTCACAAACACTGTGGGTGATAAGAGAGCAAATATAGAAACACTCCCTGAGGCAGGTGAAGTGAAACCTGAGCAGATATTCTTCTGGTTCCACCTCAGTTCTAAATCGCTGCTCATACCGACTGTGCAGATTCATATCATGGGTCTAATCTGCTACAACATGCCCACCGTCCCTGAGGAATCAGGAGATTAGCCATGAATACACGTTATGGAAAACATTTGAGTTCCACTTAAGATCTTTGCTTTCTTAATGGGAATGCTCTGAAGTGAAGTATATTTCTGGAACAGATGAAATCTTGGTACAAAGACTACCTGCATACTGGGAAGTAAAATTAAAAGGGTGTTAGGATAAAAGGCATAAAATAAAAATAAATACGTTTTTGTTATTTTCACACTGACAGCCACTAGAGGGCACTCTAGGCTTGTGCACCGGTATCTGCCTACGCTCAGCACTTTTCTTTTCATCCTTTGGATGATGTGACTTTTACTCCCGAGCGACTTATAGTCCGGAAAATACGGTAAGTCAGAATTTAGTCAAACGACTAAATCAAATTAACACCGACAGCGGGTGACTCAACCTCAGGGTCTTCCTGTAATTCTGCAGGTTCTCACTGTGATGAACCTGTGAGGTCAATTAAAATGAAGTACATTTTATCATGTACTGCAGTACTCCTGCAGTGGTTTCATCTTTTTCTGTCTCTGTCCAGGTGGAGGAGCTGAAATCCAGGCTGATGGCGGCAGAGAAGGCCATGGGTTCTCTGGAGAACACGACACCAGTGAAAACACACAGAGTTCAATCGAAGGGAGTCAGTGGTTCTCCTGCTGCTCTACCACAAAAACCCCTGCTCCGTGCTGAGTCTGGTGGCACGGAAACTCAGGAGAGAAAAGTAGCTCCTGCCACTGGAGTCAGTTTAGGTTTCTGATCAGACCACTTTTTTGTGTTTTTATGTTTTGACAGCAGTTTAACTGTTGTTTGTCTTAGGCTTTGATGGACATCCTGCAGCAGGATCGCAGAGAGGCTTCAGAGCAGAGGCAGGAGCTCTGCGACATCATTACCAGACTGCAGGGGGAGCTACAAAGCGCTGAGGAGCAGAGGGACAAAGTAAGCAGCAAGCTGTCATTATTCATTCATTACTTAGTGTTAAATCAATCATTGGCCTGGAATTCTTTGGCTTCGATGTTTGTAACTGATACTACGACGCTTCACATTTGTGAAGATTTTTAGAAAAATAATTATTAACCTTAACCCTATTTGTTTTATTTAAGGCAGTCAAAGAAAAGGTTTGTTAATGATTTAAAACATAGACACATTATTGGACACGGTCCACTTAGATTCCCAGTTAAAAATTGGCACTCCTTCTGTCAGACCAACTTCTGCTTTACTTGAAATATAAATAAATAAAATATATAAAACACAGGATCTATGACAAAACTGTGACTTCTGGTCATTAATATTTCCTCTCCATCGTCTATCACTCAAAGTTGTGAATAAAAACAAAAACACGGGGTAGAAGAGACACAGCCTGTCGACTGCTCATTTAAACAGCTGTGACTGTCGTGTTAACCCGTTCAGTTTGTTATTTCAAAGTCTTTATTAAGACAATACAGAAAGTTTGGTGTCAGTTGAAGGAGAGCGTTCTCGCCGCTGATGTTGACGTGTGTTTGCAGCTGCTGTCACAGTGTGAGCAGCTACAGCTGAACTTGAAGGCTCTCCACCTGGACTGGGAGACGGAGCAGAAGAGGAGCCTGTCCTACTTCAACCAGATCATGGAACTGGAGAAGGAGAGAGACCAGGTGTGTGTGTGTGTGTGTGTGTTAGTGAGTGGACTGACTCACGCCTCACATCTGTTAGCTGTCCAACTAGTTTCTCCACTGTCCAAACCTCTGCCCAGGCTCTGCGGAGTCGAGACAGCCTCCAGCTGGAGTACACAGACTGCCTGCTGGACAAGAATCGTCTTCGTAAATGCATCGCGGATCTGGAGGCCGACCTGGATCAGCAGCAGAGGGCACTGGAGAAGGAGAGGGTGAAGAACCAGGAGCAGAAGGAGCAGAACAACCACTGTCTGAGCTGTGTGAGCCGTCATTCAAACGCTGCAGTTCATTAATTAGTTAATTAACCATTTGTTTCTACCAAAAGTGGTATTCATCCTTTTCTGCCTGTGTCTGTTCTTCAGTCCCACCTGTCTCTGTGCAGTGAGGACCAGTGCTACGACCCCTGCTGCTCCCTCGGCCTGGACCTGAGCCCCAGAGCCAGCAGGCCGCCCCC